GATGATAAAAGTAACCCACTAATTAATCCAGGGTTATCTCCTTTAACCCTCAAGTAATTAAATTATTAACATTAAACCACTAACTTTATAATTATAGCAGGAATAGTCCAAAACGCCCCTTAAAACATTTAACAGAAATCCGACCCAGCATGGGATTACGCAGTCTGTGACGGCCCGTCGTGCCTGCGACGGTCCGTCCTGCTGCTTCCGTCACAAAGTTCAGAGACTAAATTTCACTAAAGGATCTGTGACGGCCCGTCACGCCTGTGACGGTCCGTCCTGCCATTCCGTCACGAAGTTCAGAGAGTCAATTTCAGTACCCAAATTTCAGCATTCTAAGTGTTTTGGAACGAGACCCCCTCGACGGTCCGTCGTGCCCATGACGGTCCGTCGTGGGATCCGTCGTCTCAGCCAGTTTTTCCAGAAATAAAATCTGTTGCTCAAAACGACTAAACAGGTCGTTACATACATAAATTTTCTTTTTATTTTTAAATCGTACAAAAATATTGTTGTTATCTTTATTTTTAACTCTGTAAAATAATACGTGAAATAATGTATAACATAAAATTATTAAATGAAACTTAACCAAACTTATGAGGTATACTAATTAATTAGTAAACGATATATTGATAAATCTATATACAGAAGAAATATTTTAGTCTTCAAAAAAATAATTTCTTCTTATGCTTATACTTCTTTTAAGAAGTATAAATTTTAATCTCTTTTTAACAACTATAAAAACTACTTCTACTTCCATTTAAAAATACTTTTAAGAATTTCCAAACACTTAATTTTTCAAAAAAGTAATAATACACTCTTAACCTCTCAATAGCCATGTCAAACAGACTCTTCTAAGTCTTAACCATTCAAATCTTTCAAGTGATTATATAAAAAAAACACTTAATAATTATAATTTTTTCATAACTAAAATTTGGTAATATCATTTACCACATCAATGCCCTTTTCTTTTCTTTGCCTTAGTGGAGAACAAAATCATTAGGCTTTGGAGGAGATTGAAATGGCATGTCAAAGCCCCATCTCTGGTCAACAAAACATTCCTTTACCCTACCCTTGCCTGAAGAAAAAATTAAGGCTTTTCCAAAGTATAGTCTGTTTATTCGTTATGCTGTTGTTTGATAGAACGTATAAAAATAATATCGAACAAAATTTTCATAAAAGAAATGCTAAAGACAATTGTGTCTTTTATCATGTCAATACATATATTAAAAGCCCTTTTATGGCTAATACCATATTTTTCATATACTTAAAATTGGTCATCCACCAAATTTTTTTTAGGTTTAGAAATCAAGGGTGGTCGCAAACATGACTTAATTTGCTAGAGCAAATTTTAAAAAATGTGAGGTGTTTAATTAAGCTTTCTGAGAGAAAATAAGTATTCCTAAGAACAATTTTTTAGAAGTTAAAAATAAATTAATTTTTTCCTAAAAATATTTTCTAGAAAGCACTTTCGGAAAAAAATACACTTAAAAACACTTGCAAATTATTAATGGTGGTTCAAAACAAAAACTAGTTGTCACAAAAGTACTTATGAAAAAAACACTTCTTATAAAAAAGTTGATTTTTTAGGGCTTCACTAAATAGGTTACTAATTTGCAAGAGCAATCAAATCTTTGTTTCATAATGAACCATTTGAAAATAAGCTTAGCTTTTTGGTGATTAGATGGTAATAAGGCATACATGTGATATTTTGACTATTCCCATAATCACTCCTTTGGAAACATTTGAAATATTTGAAGTGATGTAAGAACTACAAAATTGACAACAAAAGAATTTTATTTTCAAAGAAGGCCCCATATATTATATCATTGCAATTTATAAATGAGGTTGATTTTTAAAGTGAAGATATACTAGTATTATGTCCCACCTACAATCAATTCCAAAGAATAAAAAAACAACAAAATGATTTATGCCTTCTAAAGGATGTACATAAGAGTGTCCAATGGATTAAATTTGAATGAATCAAAATAGATTGAGCTAATAAATGATTGAGTCATTAATTCGTCCAAAGGATCAATTGGATTAAGATAAATTGAGTCGAAATAGGTTTATATCATAACCCAACTAGTCGATTCTTACTAAGTTTTAACTTCATTAATTGTTTTTTAAGTACCTAAGAAACTTTATTTTAATTATGACTATATATAACATATTCATTCAACTTTTCGATATACTAAATTAGGGTCTGGATGGGAATAAAATAGGTTGGGTTGGTTAATGAATGGGTTAATCTTTTGAATACGCTAAATTAGACATGTCAAAAAACTGAATCAATAAATGGTTGATCAAGTTAGATAGAAAATATTTCATTGACAAATTTTGCCACCCCTATTCACCATTCGTGTATAATTAATTAAAAAGGAATAGAAACTACATTGAAAATGTTGTTAAGATTTAGGAATAACTAAAACTATCTTAGGGAGCGGTTTACCCAATGTGGAACATCTTGATGTAAATTCGGATTTAGTCGGAATATTAAAAAAAAAATTGTAGGATAACTATCACGATACTCTTATTGTTTTCCTCTTTAGAATCATTTCCAGCAAGATATACAGTACCTTGTCCAAGAGACCTAAGTGATCCATTTTGTCTTCCTATTATTTGTAATAGCTTCTCTATCTCTCTAGGTCGAGGTCTACATAAACTCTACCTTTCTCAAATCGCTCATGTAAGATTACTATTTGTAACAACTTTTCTTTTACGTCTAGTTATAACAACATGAATACAATTGGTGAAAATAGACAATTAAAGAAACTTATTTTAACCTAGGTTAAAATAGAGTGAAACAATAGATTAAAACTCAACCTTATCGGTGAAGACCAAAAAGAAGGTAAAATCTTACCGAGTGTGATGTTTACCTTGAATCAATGAATACATGACACATATTTTCACATACCCTCTTGTCACTAAACTACGGTTAATTAATGTGCATTCTCACCTTTGTTTATTGATAAATTAGTATGATTTGGCGTCAACACCAGGCGCGAATAATTTTTACCAAAAGACATATTCTAAAGTTTGCACTTAGCAGATGATCAAATTTTGGCTAAATGCACTTATTGTTAGATAGTACTCAAAAAAGAAACATTACTCCTTTTCCACTTTTGCTTCTCTACACCTTTCATCTTCTCTATTTTAAATCAAATATAAGGATATCCCAAATTGGATCATTTTTTCTACACTATCAAAACTACTAGTAACAGGGTTTTTAAGTTAAAGAAGTCATTTCCAGACATTTCTCTAATCAGAATTTAACAAATTTTAAGACATAATCATACCCTAGTCCCTAGATATCTGTCCATCTAATTTCTACAATTTGAAGCAAAGGGCAAAGGTACTAATTCCATTAAAGAGTCAAACCTTTCAAGCAAAAATCAAAAAAGACAATCATGATACATAAGAATGTTTTAACTTTGTCTTCCCCCCACCACCCACCACCCACCACCCAAAAAAATATAAAATATGAATTCTATTTAGTTTAATGCCTAATACACTACAAGCCCGTCAAACTTAAATGACTTTGTAAGTCAAAAAATAATCAACAAGGGAGACCTATTTTTATTTTAAACTTATTTTAAGTCATTTTAAACTTATTTTAAGTTACTTTTAACATTGATGGACACTTTCCAATTTATTTGAAGTCATTTTCTTTACTTATTTCAAGTTATTTTAATATTTGACAAACACTTTCAGAAATTAAAAACTGACTTAATGAAGTTAGTTTGACCAACTTTTAAGTCAATCCGATCACGTCATAGGCTTCATATCCCCACTTTGGCAACCTTTTTACCCAAGCTCTCAATGCCTATTACCAAGCTCTAATATTACTGGTCACTTGTATGGAAACTGGAAGACAACCCATACACCCCTAAAAGTCTTCTATGATCACTTCGTTTTCCTTGGCCTAGTCATCCATCACTTTGTGTATTCTTTTTTTTTTGATAATAGTGGTATGTTCGCCAGCTTACATACAATTCGATTAATTTCAGAAGCTATCTGCTACTTTCTACCAACACAAATATCGGGTACCTCTATTTACCAAGACTTGGACGATGAGAAGAAATCACCTAGTATATATACTACTTCATTAACCACTAAACCATATTCTCTGGTGTGATCCATCACTATGCTTCTTTTTGAGGACCTATGAAAAAATCTCTTACCTATTCATGATTGCTATATGAAGATCACTTATGGATTTGCAAAAGGCAGGATTTAGATTTATCCTAAAAGTGGAACCAAACTAAGAAAAATGTTTTTATAAGTTTTATTCCAGCTGGAGGAATCCAAGGACTGGATAAGAGAATTGTTATGATAAATACATGAGTTTCTCCATTAATCAAGATGCACTTAAATGTATATAAAGTATCTAGCATGCTGAAAAGAGGGTTTCAAGGTCATTTAATAGTAAAGCTTCTAAACAATTTTTTTTAACCGTAGTGCCGGGCCAGCTTGCGTGCACCTAGATTAATTCTACGAGATACCAGGTAACTCTATCCAGAAAGATTAGGATAAATGAAAAACAATCACCAAATATTTTTATTGCTGTAAAAATTTAAACTTGAAACCTTATTGTTCTCGACTCACTTCACTGACCAACATAATTTTTACCTCGTAAAAAGGCAAAAAAAGAAACCAAAGGAAGGATATGGCAATAAATGCTACATATGCACAGCATAGTAATGATATTAATCTTACTGCCTCTGCGCATCAGTTCTCCAATTTAATCAGAAGTTTGAAAGAAAGGCATAAAGATGAAAGGAGTGAGGGCTCAGGCTAATTAATCAAAGGTTCAACTGATCACTACGCTTGTATTGTAAATTGATTAAATAGTTCATGTCCCAAATTAATTAGTGATCTAAAGCCAAAAATAAATTAAAGACTATCTTGTAATCTTAAACATATAATGTGGAAGTTAAATTTAAAAAATTATCCATAAAAGATAAACATTATTTAATGTTTGGGAACAAGCTAAAAAAAAGACAAATAAATTTAAAAATATAATATGTTTCATCTTGTTAAAAAATGCCTACAATAATTTTATTATTAATGAAACAAATAGGCCCTTCGATTTAAACACATAACAGGCATGTATTGGCTTGGTGTAAAGTCTCGGTGCGGGTAAGTTTTTCTCGGGCTTAAAGCGTATACCTCATTTTTAAAGGCATCGAGCACCCCTTATAAGTTGCTGCTTTGACCTGCATAGAGAGACATCTGTTTAGGTGAACGTCAAACTTAAAACATAACAGAATTTTTGAGTATTAAAGATTTGGGAAATAAATTCTCACTGGAGTGGGACTTTCTTCTTCAGTCAGCATGCTCCCGGAAACGTATGATATTATTGATAAAGGTCCTCTCGCGACGATAGCTGAAGATTAAGATAGATAAGACTCACGAATATACATACAAATACTTTCAGAATACAATTTAGTTAAAGGACTTCCAAATTATAAAAGTTAAGTTTTGATGTCGTGTTTTAGCCTAGTTTACACTTTACCAGACTTACCACAGTGCATTAAACTACAAAATGTTAGCTCCGCCAAAGTCATCTAACAGTAATTTTTGCAAAGAAACGAACCTTTGGCTTTAACTCAACAACAAAAACTAGCTTAAAAGATGAGAACTATCCAAGACCATACGAGATAAAAAACAATCCATCCCACAACCACAAGACGATTTAATACACACACACCCTCCCGACGCATGGTCAGACTTGCCAACTGGTGCGTGGTCAATATAATATGGGGGCCAACAATGGGGCACATAATAATAGGGAAAGTTTTGATTCTGCTACCATGTTAAGAAATGGACCTAAATCCTACCTCATGAAGTGAGGATTATCCCAAACTATACAAGGAGACAAACAACTTATCCGTCAAACCAATGTAGGACAACTTAACGATATTCATAAGATCCCAACAATCCCTTCTGAAAGAAAAATATATATGTATGTGAGTGCGCACATTTTCATGAGTGTATAAGAGAGCGCATGAGAGAGAGAGGAAGTCCAGAAATGAAAGGCTGAAAGGTCACCTGGGAGGGAGTCGAGAGTGCTATACAAATAAACTAGACAAGTTTCAAAATACTTCATGGGTAAACAGAGATTCAAATCCTCTACTTACATGATAAAGGCTGCTAGCATGAAACTGGTTATGCCCACTAAGAAGTGAATGCTAAATGTTCTCCAGAAGTCATCCGGATCCAGAAATATCTTTTCTGAAACTAGAGTGACTATTCCAGAAAAAAGTAGAAAGGTCCAACCGGAAGGCAGACATCTGCGAAAGGAAAATGAGGATGAATCCTGAAAAAATCCAAAGAATATATCATCGTCAGTATCAAAGGAAATACCAACTCCTGAAATCCTTACACATCCAAAAATCACAAGCATCCGGAAAAATACCTGGAAATAGTTCCTGATGAATACTGCTGAGTAAGTGATCCTAAGAGCCATATCTTTTAAAAGTCAAGGAACTAGTGGCTACAAATTTTAGATGTCTTTAAGGACAACCGACAACCGGTTTCACACTTCCGACCAATTAGCTAGCCACTCATGGGCTTTCAGTTCTGTAAACAGATGCAACTGCAATAGGAGAGTAAGCAGAAATCACATATAAACTATTTCACTATTAGCAAGTTCCTGTACTTGTGAAAAGGGAGCCTACACGTGCTTGTTACCTTGACAAACTTGGCAGATAGCTATTTCGGTTTAAGCAGTCAGCCAGAATGATACTATTAAGAAAGTTTGCAATACTACTACTGCTGCACCTTTGTTACTAACTCCAAAAAACAATAGCAATCATCAGGTAAACCCTACCTTCTCCTCATGCATATTAAGCTTCTTGACATTACCACAGTGAAAAGCATGCTTCTTTTAGCCTACTTCTACATATTAGAAGTGTTCCTGAAAATAGTTCTTTCATAAAATGATTCATTACGACCTAGTAACGTGAAAGATGCTGAAAATAAAACATGCAACCCTAAGTATGGTTGCAGCATGATTATTCAAGAGAGCACCAAACTGCAAGACCTTGCCTTATTTCTGAACCAAGATATGCAGTGAGAACAATGATCATCAATTTTTTTATAACAAAAGCAAACACTTCAAAGTTTTAGAAAAGAAAAATATAGAACTTTAATATGTCATGAAAGGATACTCAAAGAATTAGCTAAAATCAACCCAATAGCACCAGCTGAATGTATAAGAGACACATTCAACACCAAATAAATCAATGAGAACACAAGCAAGGAATCATTTGAGCGCTTGAGTTGAATCTCATTTGCGACTGCATGCAAAAATGCTTCTGATGTTCCTGCACCAAAGACGAAGAAAAAGTCAACAGGATTCACAATAGATTTGTAGACTACTTGCCAGGGTAAATTCAACATATCATCTTCACAAGCTGAAGAGAACAAAGAGCAAATAAGTGGAAAAATCTTTAGGTCACATCATTCCAATTGATGATGCAGGTTACAGCAGAAGAGAACACACTTGATTGTAGATTTCAGCTACTTGAAATAGAATAAACAAGCTTTTAAAAGTTATTTAAAGCAGCCTTATCAGAAAAATGTAAAAGGAATAAACTGATCCGTAAATGATCGAATTAATAAAACAAAATTAGTAAGGAAAAAAAAGCTAAAACCTCCAACAATAATTCAAAAAGGCAATTGGTAACACTGTGTATTAGCATAGTACAAGCTGCAATGCACTGCAGCGACTTCTGGAGTTTTTCTGGATTGGTAAGAACTTGAGAACAAGTACGGAAAAGATCACAGATATCAGGATCTTTTGTTCCTCTCATACAGGTATATGCTGTTTTTAGCTGAAAGATGCAGGAACACTGCCAGTGTTATCAAAAGTGAAAAATGCAAAAAAGCTCTAAAGTCTATTGGGGCTTTAAGCGCAAATAAAACATGGTTTTAATGAGAAAAGGCGCAAATGAAAAAATACAAACATATGTTTACTCCAAGTTAAATAATTATAAGAATGAACAACAAATATATGGACAACGAAATTGAAAAAATTATGATAAACTGATAATTCAAATTGTTTAGTGCAACCCCAAAAGGAAAGGCTCATTGGCAAGGAAAAGTATGTCTTAGAGCCTTGATGACGACATTAAAGCGCATAATAAGCGAGGCGAAGCGCTCAATATGTTTTCAGCCTCGTTTCAGGCCTTAAGCATACCCTGTCCTCATTGGTACATGACCTCTAATGCTTAGGGACAAAAGCCCAAAAGATGGCCTATTCCTTAAATATACCAAATTCATCTCCGACAAGATGATTGGCTGGGTAAGGCATGGCTACATGAAGCTAACCATTTATATAGGATCCGAAAAATACAAACGAACTTAAAGTATCATGCAGAGGAAAAATCACCAAGTAGTTATTCAGGCTGAGCAAACGTATAATAAGCAAGTTCTCAAACTCTCCACACACCATACAAAAGAGGCATCCATCTAATGGGATTTAAGCATGTTAAGACATAACTAAATAAATTAAGATATCCTTCTGTAACAATAAAAGTTTTCAGATGAGGTGATTTACATTTCACACAATTTCACATGGTATAGTGAGTTCAAGTGCCAATCTCATCCACAATGAAAAGTATATTCACATGCTTGGTCCTGTAAAAATTATCAGGCTAGCACGTCATAATTAATCAAATAACTAAAGCTGTAGACTCTCTAACAGTCTAGCCTTCTACCTGAAAAGATTCACATAATTTAATAAGACAGAAGAAACTTGCTATTGGTTCCATCTACCAAAAGCTACAATTAAAGTCACCAATTAATGCATGCATCAAGGTTGCAGCAGTTCAACAAGAATGAACAACAAAAATGACTCATGAATGAACTTCACCAGATTCCAGTTAAGAGCATGTTTTATCTTATAACTTTCAGTTAACATCATGCTTTTCCAAAACTTATCTGAAAGGAGAAAAACTGCATCACTCACAGAAATTTCTAACATGAACAGAACTCTAAGTAATTTCTGATATGGAGGCTGCTGCGGTACAATTAAATTACAAACTCAAATGCATCAAAATAGAAAACAAAGTTGGGAATTCCAATCTTCACAACCTTGTTTCCCATATACAAACAGCTCTGTTTCGACATCATTATTTACTAGGTTTGAACTTTCATTGGACCTGCTTAATTATCATCATATGTGTGCTTCTTGCTTCATAAGATAATCCAGTTATTAAAAAATAAACTAGTTTTTATGCAATGCTTTGACATTTTCTAGCCTTATTTACTGAGAGTTTCAGGTTGATTAGGTGCCAAGTATCACATTTGACAGTATAAGTGGTCCAAGGTTATTAATTATTATTTAACAGCTCCAATGCATGGGCTGATGCACAATTCTAAAATCTACATAATCGAGAAGAAGTCCCAAGCCCACAATATTTCATGATCAAAGGCTTTTCTTTTTAAGTCACAATATATCAGGATATGGAAGGACAAATCGCTTAGACTTACTCATTATAAAATTAAGAAAGAACCTTTGAGTCTAGATCATGGTCAGTAGCCCCATCAGGACCTAGTGAGATTATCTCATGATAATACAAATAAACCATACAGTAAAATTGGCTACTAAAAAATGGATACTCAAACAATCATTCTTTCCTTTTTTGTCTAAGTTCTTAAGTAATATTTTTCATGGATCACTCTAAAAAAGGAGGGACTTGGTTTATTTGGAACCTTTTAATCTGATTTAATTAGTATTCCAATCATATTTGTTTCATTAATCTAAATTGGGTTTAGTCATTAAATGAGAAAACACTGTTAAGTGATAACAGCATAAGATTTTCATGGAAGTCATTATTTTTAAACTAATTATTCAATAATTGCTTTTTAAAGAGATTATATTTGGTTATTATTATGAAAACCAAACATGATCTTACCATTCATGGCCAACAGAATTACATAGAGGCAATAGTATCGTAGAGCTGTTGAGGCTTCTCCGTCGCTCCACTTGCGACCATACAGCAACCTAATGAGAGAGTACGAATAGCTAGGGCCAAAGGCCATGACTACCAAACCTACAAGAAAAGCAATTTTGAGAATGATAGTAAGCTATTTGCAGTCTCATTTGTTTTAAGCACCTAATAGCTAAAACAAAATAAAAATTCACCAACATTTTTCTATGTAATGAATACAATCAGAGAGTGAAACATATTGTGTGTCAGTTTATTATTTGAAGCATATTTATGAAGAAAATAAAGTGAAGCATAGGGCAATGATGCTGACACACCCAAGCAAAATGCCCAAGGAAAAACAAGTTTAAAGAACATATATTGAAACTTCTCATTTCAATGGCAGCCAGAAAACAAGTTTGCTAGACCTTTTTAAAGTTTTAGATAAGTCATAACATCCCTTCTTTGTCCCCCCATAAAACGGTCATAAAATCCCAAATGCTGAGTACAATGTACATAGGCCTCTATCTTTTAAGGCTTTCAAGTACTTTTTTCAAAGTAGACTGTGAATTTGTCACCACTCACCACAGTAGACATGTGCCCAAAATACAAGTTCGCCTAATTTTAATTCAGGTCTTTATTAGCTTCAGGATTTAGTAGTCCATTCCACTCGCGCAAAAGGTTACTTCGGTAATTAAGGCACACATTTAATTAATTCATAAAAAATGTCAATTAATTTAAATCTCTCTGTTTGCATAAATAAGGTAGTCAAGTAATATGCTTTACTCTATATAACTTGTCCTTCAAACACCTCATATTCTCTTTCCAGATCGCCCATATTATGCAAAACGGAGAAATGATCCATAGTTTACTGCCCATATCATACAGGATTGTGTAAAGAACAGTAATTAATAAGACAGAGAGGACGCAATAGTGATTTCACATAGTTCTCTCATTCGAAAAACAAGGTTAATTCCTGTAAGAAAATATATAACATAATGTATAAGTTGTCAGAAGGTAAATGATCAGCACCCGGAATGTTTAACAGTAGAATAAGTTCCAAAAAAACGACATCATTGATAAAACTGGATCTGAGAACCAATGTTTGCTAAGACATGTCCGAAAAGAGTAGGACTTGGCTCAACTACTAGAAGATGAACAGTCATTTCTTATTTTACTCATTCAGTAACAAGTTCTTAATTTTATGACCCAGTAGGATATTAGTAGAAATAGTTAACCACTAGTCTAGCTCCATAGAAAGAAAATTTTAAGGATGTATTTCTTTTGAAGTAATATTGAAGCAAGATCTGTTATGAAAGAATGTCAGAGTCACCTATTAATAAAACAAGTTTCAACGCTTCGGTCAAACTTTTTCCCAGTTTCTTTTGCTTCTGAGTCTGTTCACCTGTCAAAACAGTAAAACAGTTTAGTTATCAAATTGCCACTTCAAATTGGATGAACAGAACTGAATTGCCATAAAGTTTATTTATTTTTTAATAGCTTTGCAGCAGTCACAAACACCAAAAATGCAATATCAGAAATGAGATGCCTAACATTGGAAAAAATAATTTGTGATGGGCCTGACTCTGATACCATGTTAAGAAATGGTCCTTGGACCTAATTTAACCCCAAAGCTAGATCATGACTTAACCCAAGGCTAGATTATGAGGGGAGGATTGTCCAAAGACTAAATAAGGAGACCAAGAACCCCCTTCTCCCACCGATGTGAGACTCCAACAGTTGCAAGTTTGGATATCAAGCTGTAAGTCATGGATGAAACTACTCATTGGGTCTTGGTGCACTAAATCAGAACTCCAGGAAAATTCAGTGTTCTTTCTATCATCAATTTTAAGAAGCTTTCTAGGGAAAACTAAGGGGAAAAGATGACATTTTGCCTTTTGCTATCAAAGGCACGTCCTCTCTAATACTAGTTGTTTGAATAGATTAACACTTTTTTGAGAAAAGTAACTGCGTATTATATCCAAAAACAGTACTTAGGTAGTACTTAAGAGATTAAGATTGACAACCTATAGATCAAGATACTGGAAGAGTTAGTCTGACAAGTGCAGAATACAATTGATGTTAAAAGATCATTGGGTTCAAAGAAGTAATAGATCAGGCAAAATCCTGTCAAAGAAACAAATAGACCAAGTAGCATCAGAAAATAATCAAAGTAATAGTTCATTTAGGTGGTTAAAGTTAAAGAAAAAGATAAGCTCATTTTCTATTTATTAGCTTCTGTTCAAAATCGGAATGTAAGACATGCTGACAACTAGCCAATACCAGTATAATTGTGGTTTAACAGAGTAGAAGTATTTTTAATGGGCATGGCATCACTTAAGGAACCACTATTCTATCCGCATCTCGTCTTTGAACTTCCTTAGAAGCCAATCAACAATCCTGTTAAGAACAGGTTCTGCTTGGCAAAAAGTGATAGGTAGGAGGTGATTATTTGTCATTTCCCTTTTGGTTAGTAAAAGTGGGTTAATTTAACCTCTCAAATCTAGATTGAAGGATGAATTATATCTCTATTACTTCCCTTGTAATTGTGTCATAATTTATGAGGAATAATCCTACTAAGGAAGTAAACTGATGAACTTCTCGCTCCTTGCCCCTCCCTTCTTTTGAAACCAAATTAGCATTACTCACCAAGGTAACAGCTATTTAGGTGAACAAAGAAATTGAGAAAATAAGATGATTACGATCAACCAGAGTCCTATAAGGAAGGCGAGATAAACCTGATGCAGACCTTGCAAATGTAGCATATGAACTTTCTTCAAATGGGAGAAACACCAGCCTAACCACTAAGCTGCCTGAAAAACAATTTAGTATCTGGTTAAATTATGACACATTTAAGCAAAATATGCTGCTATCTTAAGAAACACGGTAAGTAGAAGCCAGAATAACGAACTAAAATACCTAGTTTATCTACAAGCCCATATACTGCTTGATTATATGGTGTGTCCAACCATACAAGAACCATCTTTTCTCCTTCTTGAAGAATCAACTTGCGGAAAGATTGAAAGGTAAACAACATACACATTTTTGAAAGTTGTTCATCAATGCCTCCACTTCCTACACTAAAAGGATATTAACTGTCAACTAAAATAATGGTAGAGAACAAACATTCCAATAGAACTGTCAACATAAAAGGAAAGGGCAGAGAAATTTTGTAAAGACAACTGATAACTCCAAACCGAAAGCAGGCTTTGTAAAGCCCCACGAGTTTCTAGATTAATTTGGGATCAATTTGGGACGTGAATGAAGTTATTGTAGTGAATCAGAGGTACGTGAACCCACATAAAGGTGTAGGAACATGGTTCATAAGGCGAAGTAGAAGTCCTTGAATTTTAGTCTCAATGCTTCAAACTGTTCATCACTTGAAGTTATACAGAGAAAGTTATGTGTGATTTAATGAACAACATACTTCAGAAAATGCAGCACGATTTGCCGTTGCAGCACATGCTAAACAGAGACACTATCAATTCCAACACAGATTTGCACTGCGGCGCAGAAATGTGGCTTGCGAGTCACGATGCAGGCTGGCGCAGGTTTAAGTATTAAAAAGAACGGGAAGAAAGAAATTGGTTCCATTCTTATAAATACAAGACATTTTCTCTCGACCCCAAGTCATCAAAAGTTTCTCCTACTACCAAAGGTAAATTTCTAAATCGCTTAAAATTAAATAACTACTCTCAAACAATGATTCGGACAGGGCTTCATCTTGAACTAGATACCCAACAAACATTCAGGAACAAGTTAGGATTCAAGTGAGAACTTTGCAACCCAACTTCTACGTTAATTCTTAGAAAAATACTATTTATAAAATTTGTTTGCAGGAACTACCACGAAAACCTTTGATGACTATGAACACCAAAAACTTGGAAAATCCAGCCAAGGGTTTCTAAATTCTGGAAAGATGAAATGTTTTGATTCTTTTGATTGTGTATAAGTGGTTTGGTGAATTGAGCCATTCAGGGTGGCGTAAATGGTTGACCTAAAATGGAAGGAAGTGAGGAGGGTTGAGAGTTGAGACAATGCTTTCACTATAGTTGTCTTACAAAAATCATGTCACCTATTGTTGTTAAATTGTATAGAACGTTAATGTGGATTTAGATTGGAGGAGCGGGCTCACATAATCCATTAGAATTGCAGAAAAGTGTTTAGATGATTATCCTGTTTATTAGTCCAAGTAACGGTTCCATCATTGTATTTCATGACTTGCATACCTTCTCAGATATTATGAAATGATGAAGTTTTTCTTTCATATGATTTGATAGAACTCGTTTGGTAAGAATTAAGAACAAATACTGTCGACTTGAATTACATCATTATAGAACTGTTCAAAACAAGTTTTGAGAGTCCCTAGATCTCTGAGAGAGATTAGTAGCCTTTGGTGGGTTATGATACCTCGGAACTACTCGTGCCTTAGTAAGTGAATAGTGTATATCTGATCCAGACACTACAAAGCATAGCACCTAGTAAAGCATAACAATGTGAGCATGTTAGAATTTTGAATTGTGTGTCACCACAAGGATAGAGCCTAGACGATCAGGTTAGGATCGTCCGTGATTTGTACAGAACAAGAAATATATCAGAATCCTTGATACTCCCCAGAAAGCAAGAAAGAGAGATTTTCATGAGAAGAAAATAAGTACAATAGAACAAAATATGAGTTGTTCATCTCAATTCTTCATGAGAAGCTGTTTTTATAGAATTATACCATGTCATGCATTCATACTTATTTCAAGTCTTGTTCCAGCAATAGTGGGAGATCTTTTTACTCACCGAGCACCATTGTGGTGTACAGATGTTCCTTTGTTTTCTTGGAACCTACATTTATTTATGTCAATATAGGCACAAGTCATTTAGACGGGCAGGCTACAAGTTAGTTGCTCCTCCCATTCCAACAGATTCTTGGTAAGGTCCATCCCAGACTATGGAGTTCATTGCATTTGACTTCAACTTTTACTTTTATTTATTTTACTTGAGATTAGCTGGTGAGCTATGTTCTGAGCAATCCACCCATTCTTTAGAGACTTCATAGATGTAGTTGAGTCAACGATTTAGAGTTCAGATGTAATCTTGTTTTCTTCCAGATATTTGACTTTGTAGATGGATTATGCTACGTGTTTTCAAAATATGTTTCTCTAAACTTTAAAAAAGACATTTTCTTTTGGTTTTACATGTTGAACTGCTTGATGGAATAGAAAGAAAAGATTAGAAGGTTTGCTAGTTCAAGTTAAAGCACCAAGTGCCAGTTACAACAATATCAGGAAAAGGGTCATGGCAGGCTTCCAATTATTCCTTCATATTTATTGCAGCGATATTCCCAACAACCCTACTTCCGAAAAGGAGGAAAGAAGAAAAGAAGGAAAAGCTTCATTCTCATTAAAAAAAACTTCATTGTTTTCTTTAGGACCAATATAGACACATTATGTCTGCCTGCTTACATCTTCCTCTCTCTCTCTCTCTCTCTAGGTGATTCTGTACTCCGTCTGTAATTTTTCTATAAGCACCACCCTTGCGCCTTACTTTGTGTGGAAAAAAATCATCATTTATCAAGAAAATATGACATGTATAACATATATGATAGCAATAGAGGATGATGAAGTATTAGAACTCTTACCTAAAAGGGAAGAGATCAGAACAGCTATACACGTGGAAAAGAAGAAAGTAGCCCCAATAGCCAAAGAACACACAAGCTCCAAACGCGACTTGTGACAAGGCAAATGCGATTGCTTTCTCCTGAAAGTAAGAAATTTTAATCTTCAATCCTGAACAGGTACACTAGGTGTCTATGCCATTGAGCAACAACATAGTCCATCTTTTGCATAAACAATTTAAGACAGTAATTCATGTTACAACTGAACATGATTAAAAGCAGCTAATGGTAAACTTATTTAAACTTAGTAAATAAAGATAACATCAAAACAAACAACTAAAAGAGTAAATAATGCAGATGTTGATTACCATGCCAGGTAGATTTACAATGAGGATGTAAGTAGTTATACAACGTGAAAGGGTAGCTACACTTTCAACTACCAGACGCAACTTGAGGAGAAGCAAATTCTGAGATAAGATGTAAAAGGGTTCAGCCAGTAGCTCCAATATACATGCAAAACCTGCTCAGGGAATAAAATTCCAAATAAAATAAAAATGTCAAACAACAGAAACCAAAAATCACAAAATCAACTTCTGGGGAAGGTCATCGGTCTGATCCATGCTACTTTCAAGTCTCGAACCTCCAACCAGATGCAGGCAGAAGAAACGGTTCTAAGCAGGTCAGGATGACATTAAAATCACATTGAAACCAAAGACATAAAGCCAATGAACTGATAGAAAAAAATGCACACGTCCAATTAATAACGATTTTAGAAGGGTCTAGATTCAAACTCTCAACAGTGATGGTTCAAAAGCCCAAAAAAATGCAATTAGTAAACAGAGTCATTCTTTTTTGGAGATAAGTAATCATGGAAAACTGAGTTTTCCGGGCTCACATTGATAAGCAGCTTGTAGAATTAGCGCAAAACACAATGCTTTAAAAGATTATATCAAAGTTTAAGCTCACCATTTATCCATATAGCCTGTGCAAATTGACTAAAATAACTTAGTTCTTGCCACCATAAAACAAAAATACATCCTGCAAATGTGATAATTATTCCCAAAGGGAGAGTCATCCATGCTACTTTCAAGAGTTTTGCTGCATTTCCTCTCCCTGATGATCCACCACTGCAATTTAAACACAGTAACAACCTTAAACATTAAACTCATAATCGAAAAAGATATTTGCAATGAAATTCACAAAGCAGATATAAAATGGAAGAAATCGAAGGAAAAATAACCTTCTGTACTCATCACAATGTCAAACCATGGAAATAAACCTGGTTATTTTGGGGGGATTTTTTTTTTATTTCCCTGGTTTGGTTTCATTTCCCTGGTCATGTCAAACCAGGGAAATAAACTCTCTACTTGCTCAATTTCAGAATCTGTGAACTATTTGGAGGTGATATTAGGAGAGTCATATAAACGGTCAAAAAACAGACATTTGGTTTCCCAAAATAGAGTATCCTCTTTCCCTTCCTCGCATATTTTTCTGAGAACTCAAAACCTTAGCCCTATCTGCTCTCGTCTGTGTCAAAGACGTCTAAAAATATTTTCACATACTTATCCGTGTTGTCACAAAAAAATATTAGTCTTTCTCCACACAGGACTTTTTACATTTTTATGTCGATGCTGAGAAAAGCAGTGGATTTTATGGAGACTTTAGGAAAATGAGAAAATGCAAAAGTGGATGATTTTACAAACCTTCTGAGCTTTTTGCAGATTAAATGAAAATCCTTGATGATACACCTGCCTAGTTATTTTTAATAAGTACAAATAAATATATCTTTCTAAAAGAAGTTAAAAATAACAAGCATCATTAGGTATGATGTGAATCACATAAAACAGCCACAACAAAAGTATAAAAACCTGTCTTATTAACTATGACCATGACCACTTGAAGAAAAATATATCCTTACGGCATGAGATAAATAGTGAACTCTTTAATCTCAATAATGAGAAAGTTGCGACATGTTTCCACTGATTGATACTTTTTATCTATTGAAGCTAAAAGAAGTTGTGAAATGAAATGCGAACAACAAAACTAAATGTAGCATCATAGTAAATATCTAATAGTACCTATAAATGTCTGCCCTCATGCATGCTCTTCTGAAGCCCTCTCGACTAAGAAAAAGCACACAAGTAATGAACAAGTGAAATTGTACAGCATACAACTGCATGATTTACCAACAAGATGTTAGACATTTTCCTTTACATAAAACCAAGAGCTCAGGTTGGGGAGTGTAATAAAGCAGCTGAGTTGATAAGACAACTTCGAACTCAAATCACCACAAAAATTAAAGAAATAATGGCTAATCAATTTGGTACATGTCGATGTCGTGACGTCTAGTTTACAATCAGTCAGCCACAAAAGTTTAAACTAGACAAAGGGAAAAGAAACAACAAAAACTTCCAGAAGGAAAGGTGAGAGAGCTCTTCTCACTCTTCAATCCAGCTAATTTAGTTGACAGATCCCTATTTTCTTTCTGTCCATAGATATGTAGAGGTTGCTATATTTTTATAATTCAAATTAACAGCAAAGTAGTAGAGGTAATACCTAAATAAGCTCAATGTGGAATCTCTCTAACAGACTTATTACATACTTTAAATACTATTTTAGAATATAGCTGAAATACCAACTCTAATATATGACCAATTCATACTTTGTTTTGTTCAGCTTTGATCACCTGTCTGTTAGAGCCCACAAAATTCTATTCGAATTTAATATGAAACACCACGAAATCATAAACAGTTTCCATTATTTTTTTGATAATCATTAACTATAGTAATATTTCCAAATGTTGTATCCTCACCTCAAGGAGAGTGCAACAAGTGAGACGAAACAACTGCAAATCAACTTATTGATAAATATAATCTTAAAATACTATATGCATATACATAAGACAATAGAACAACATAGCCTCAATCACAAACTTGGGGTCAATTACATGAATCCTTTATATTCATTCATTTGCTAAGATTAGCGTTGAGAACCCCGACTATTCCACCGTATACTTTCTACGTCACACCAGCACAGATATCGGGTAACTATGTCAACTAAAGCTTAAGTAGATGAGAACAAAATTAACTAGCAAGGATCACGGTTCACCAAATTCATTAAGTACTATCTCATATCTTTAGCATAATTTCTTCATTACTATATTTCCTTTTCATACTTGAGTTTGATATATCCTACTTGAGCTGAGTATCTATTGGAAAAAGCCTCTCTGCCTTCACAAGGTAGGCCTGTGCAATTACACACGGTTTATCGTTGTTGTTATTGTTGCTAATGCTACACCTCGGGAGCTGAATCCTCTACATTAATTCAACTTTTCTTGTGTTCACTTCACTCCAATGCTCACTAAATTGTCATTTAAATCTTTGAAATAACTTCTAATTGGATCACTTACCATATAGAAAGACGATAATTATTGAGAAGTAATTTTTTTTAGGATAACTGTAGTGTCCGGGAAAGCTTTCGCACACCTATAACCACCCACCAGCAACAAGTATCAACTAACTTTTGTTCACTAAGAGTGGGAGAAATGAGAAAAAAATCACCTAGTAATATAGAACAAGGATTAAAATAGAAGATTACCGCATAATCTTCTTCAGTTAGATGTCGAACGATCCAAGAGTTGAATATGAACGGTATTCCCCTTGATAAAAATTGAGTAGCTACAAGCATAACACATCACATAACAAAAAACTATATGAAGAAAAAGTATAAAATTGAACAAAGAAAAACTGAGAAAAGCACTGACCGAGCAAGTACTTAAATGTGTGCGATAGATTCGCCGGACGGTCACCTTCTTCACTTGATTTCGACATTGCTTCAACTAAATTTCTCTTCTCTATCTATGGCGTCGATTGATCGAACAAGTGAAGAAGAACATGAATGAAATTGGGTTTATTGGGTTGTTTACGGCCCGTTCTTACTTTAAATAATGTGGACTTTGAACCGGGTTTATGAGTTATGGTGGGATTGCTTAAATCAAAGCTCGGGTTTAAATTTTAGATAAAGAGAATTTTATTAAAAGAACGTTAAATATTATATATAATGGGCAATCTAGGATTTAGAGTTTATTTGGCTTAGCTATATAATTTAAAAATTTAAAAACTTTATTAGTTTTATTTTAAAAAAATAAAAAATAGTATACACTTTTATATCAAAATATTTTTCTTATAAAATCATGAATATATTTTTAATTTGTAATTAAAAATGAGATAAAAGCTCAAAAAATGACCAAAATAAAAGATAAATACGACGGGAGGTTATTGGGAAGTGTCACATCATCCTTTTCACATTCTCATATATATATATATATATATATATAATCGTGTTTTTTTTATACGTCCTTCAAGAAAATATTTTTAAGAGAATGTTTTAATTATTTTATTTTATACTCGTCTATATATATATATATATATATATATATATATTTATTTTTTTTCTTTGACACATTCTCTAAGAACATATTTTTTAAGAGAATGTTTTAATTATTTTATTTTATACTCCTTTATATCTTAAGTATAATCTCTCTTCATTAAATATTTATTTTATTAAGGTATTTATGGTCTTTGAGAACAAAGAAAAAATAATTAACTTCTGTCTTAAATTTTTAAAGTAAAAAACAATTATTATTAGAGATTCCAATAGAGAGTTTTAAGAATAGGGGATTTTTAAGTAAGTTTTTTCATTTACAACTAAAATATTTGACTTCTAAAATTGTTGCAAATCATATTTTGAGGCCCTGCTGTATATCTCTCATCATTGAATCAAAGCCAAAACTATAAGGAAAGCTAAAGCAAGTAAATCTCCAACAACAATATAGTGATGATATATATCAAATACACCATGTACAAAGAGTGTTAAATGGACGAGTTGAATTGAATTTGAATGACTTAAAATAAGATTAATGAATGAATGAGTTATAAATCTAATCATACTCCGCTTGTTATAATTTCATAGTTAAATTTTACCGCTTCTAATAACATAATCCTCGCAAGTGTCGAGTCATTTTCCTTGATGCTAATGTGAAATGGTCTTTCTCTTATAACCGGTAAGAAGAAACACACTGAAAATAAGTATATATTTAGCAACATATCATGGCATGAAAACTTGAGTCAGGTCTTTCGGAAACAGACTCTCTACCTTCATGAGTTAGTTGTAAAGTCTACATACACTCTACCCTCCCTAAACCCGACTTAGTAGATTTTACAGGATATGTTGTTGTTGTATCATGAAAAACACTATGGTGACAAGATGAGTGGGAAGTGGAAGTTTGGAGATGATCAAGGGGTTAATGTTGGAGGCGGAAAGGAGACAATGAGCTTGAAAGACCATTTATGAAATTTGTTATCTTTGCTTTCACTAGGCAACTTATATTCCTCGTTTTTAATAAACTTGTTTTCCTAGAGAAAATATTCTCCTAGCAATGGTTTTTTAGGTTATTGATAGTTTTGGACAGTTTACAAGCAAATCTCTCTCTCAATTTTCATTTAGCAACTGAGAGTTGAAGGAAATCTATTTGAGCAACACAAGGTTCTTAGATATGCACAAGATATTGAAGACAAATCCTCCATACAGGAAATCAGAAGATCTTCTAAATCTAGAAATTGAAGTAAATGTTTCCCTAACAACAGAAACCCTGCTCTAACTTGACAAATTAAGGTGACCTTAAGCTCAACTACATCAGATTGTTCAGGAGGAAATCAACATCAGGAGTGACAACAGCCCGTTTTCCGAGTTCTCCCAGCTGACAACACTGCTTCTCAGCAGTGTTGATTGCAACAACATCTTGAGAAAAAGAGCATTCTACACCAGGAGAAACCTGCAAGTAGTTTCTTGATGTTAGAGGAGTTTCATGTTGACAGACACATTGCACGAGACCAAAAAAGTGATTGAACATTATGATGAATGTATTTGCGAAAAACTGCAGGTTTATTTTCCACTTCCGTTTCACAGATCACTTTGCTAGGTCATACTTCAAACGCGAGGTAGATGAAAAGGATTCATTAACCGAAGTACCATACATTATCGAGAAAAGGCTAACATTGTACCACTAGGGGAAGCTTAAGAATTGTTTGAACCACAAGTCTCAGTGGAAATAAGGAAGAAAGCAAATGGAAGAAGATGTGATGCTTGTTCTGCTAAATAAATTGATTCTTTGCATGATAAAATGCTAAAGTTAGGGTCATTCATGGACAGTTCACAGTAAACACTCTGGAGTCCTAATAGTTAAATCATCTTACGGAAGTGTAATATCTTTAAATTGAGAAGACGAGTTTATTATCAAACTGAAAATTTTAGTTTGTCTAGAAAGCAAGGAGAAGATGTGACTCACATCGTATAGAATGTCTCCAAGCTTCAATTTAATTGCTCCACTCTTGTAAACCAGCATTTTCCCCATGCTTCCCGCGGGCAACTCTTGCAAACTGCACACTTTGTTTGTAGTATTATTATGTCGTCTGGAGATTGTAGAGCTGTCAGATATCTCTTTCCCTTTTGCACTGGCAAGAAATCTGGGAGCACTGCCAGCAACTTCTTTTCCCTTAAGCATAGGTGATGACAATGTTGCAGCTTTGTCACTTTTGTCCCCTGGCAATGTCAAGCTGACAGCAGTATCTCTACCTCCTGTGCTAGCTTGCAACTTGCTTAGCGGTAAATTAGCAGGAAGCTGAAGAAAAAGAAGCTGCACATCATCCTTCTTTTCCTGTTAACCAAATAACCATATTAGTAATCTAAGGGAAGAACTTGTTTTTCTACGAATATGTTTTTGTATTCAGAATTACTGCATAGAGCAGATACCAACCAGTAAGCCAAGCTCTGAAGCAGGATTTATATTATTTTCATCATACTCAGCATTTTTTGCAGCCTCTCCAAATTCAGCTTCATTTAAAATTTCTACAGGCCAGAAAAAACAGGAACAAATAAATGATAATGCGAAATCATGGCATAAAAAATGAGAAACGAACATGACAGTTCTATCATCTTCTTTAAGACTAAATCATTTATACTAATAGGCAATAGTTGCTGCATCTTAAACCACAATAACTTCTTTCTTTATCATCATTCATCTCTAAATCAACGACTCAAACAAGTCGCATGCCCCAAAGCAACTGACAATTGACAAGAGGGACTAAGCTGCGCTCTTCGAATTGCAGCAAATGGTCGGAGATCATAGAGAAAAACATTAGCACAGTATTAAAAAGAGAAACACTTCTGACAACATCGCAGAAAAGTGTACTACACCAGGAACTGATATTGGCAAAAACTGAAGTTTCTTGTATTAAAAGTGGAGAAAGGTCTAAAAGTGAATAGGCCCAAAGCTTTAGTGTAGTGGTAAGAACACAATGCATGATATGTCTCCTAGGCACACATCACGGGTTGAATCTGCCGCATATAAAAGCTTAGTTTTTAAGTGGAGAAAGGTAGAGGGGCAGCCTCAGTATTCATCGAGTTCCTAACTGTGAGACATTAGCCCTCGAGAATTTCTCGGTTATAAAAAAATCTAGGAGTGGATATACAATTTGATAAATTCACACTTTATGGTAAAATGACAAAAAGTTAGTTTCTTATGGTAATATGAAATGGAAATTATAGGGACAAGCTCTAACTTGGATGATTGACATACTTTTAGGGAAACACACAGGAAAGCAAACTAGTCAGTTAGGGGAAAAGGGAGTTAGATTGTTTTTGCTTTAAAATATTCCTGTTTATTCAGAAATACCTGGATCTCCAGCATATGGTCTTCTCAGAGGAAGGGTTACAGGATAGTTGCTATGATGGTAATCCTGCCAAAGCATCAAGAAGCAAACGGGTCAGTTAATGGATGTTGGTTTGGGCATTGTGGTGCCTAAAGAGATGTGATAGCAGGAAAAACCATTACCCAAGGTTCTTTATACTCTTTCTTCCTTTTAAGTAAAGAATCTGAATTATTGACTGACATTTCAGCAAGATCTGGTCCAGTACTTGAAGGTAAAGTAGGTAAAGAATCAATGTCCATGTTATCACAAGATTCATTGTCTTTCAGAGTACTATCCTGATTGACAGTGAGTTCCCTAGACTTCCCAGAAGTCTTTGTGGAAGTTGGTGATGCTACTCCATGAGCAAATGCAACCTCAACTGCAGCTTTCATTTTAATGTCAATGCACTTTCATCAAAAAAAAAATCCATGACCATAAACAATAAGGAACGAGAAAACTGCCAATAACTAATAGTATGATGAATAAACTGGCAAGGTGTATATGTCTAGCCAGACTTGCACGCTTGGCATATTGATCACAATGCATCTCATATAAAAACTTGAAGAGTGACACTAAACTGAAGCATCACTAGCGATTCCAGGAGAAGAGAAAGCTTACCTTTTTTCTCTGTTTTAGGTTTCTGTCTAGTCAAGCGCTCCTGATCAGACAAAAGAGAATAATTATTGTCAACAGTAGCGGACCCAGGATTGTCATTAAAGGGTGTCAATGGTTGTAGTAAAAATATAATTATCGTCATTTGTCAACTAACTATAAGGAGATTAAAGTTGTAAACTTGTAACAGAAATACTACTTAAATGATACAATGTTTCAGTATGCATCGTTCTTCTGTTAATCATCTTTTGTCATCCATAAAGACCCTTATGGATGGGATGAGCACAATTACTAAGAAATTGATTCACTTATATCCTCAATCAAATAATAGACGCCATATAACACGCGTATAACTCCACTTTAATCACCCATTTCTTAGTTGTATTTCACAGTATATCATTTTTTTCTGGGATGATGTCAACTTATTGATTGCAGTTTTACTCTAAACTTCATTCATTTTGATAAGAATCCCCATTATAGCCTTTCCCTCTTCTTCTTCTTCCCCTTTCCATGTTCACAGGACCACCCTGCCGAAATAATTTCTACCCCACTTTTAAATTCTCTAATATTTTGGACACAACTATATAATATCTCATTGGATTTCCCCAAAAGAACACTACTTTATAACTATCATCATC